TGAAAACTAAATGGCAATAACCTCACAGGATGGGGGTTTGTAGGCAAGTGCAGTAGTACTGACTTCAAATACACATTTTGGAATAAAAAATGAATGAAATTCTGTCCTTTCCCATTCTCCCAGGCCTAATGACTTGAGATAAGGAAGAATGAGTGGCACCCATCAGAAATATCTGTGGAAGTGGTACCCTCATTAGATAGTAAGGATTACAATTGTTATTTTTAACCCCAGCTACTTAATGGAAACACCCTAGGAAATTTAAAAATGAAAAGTGCTTGGGTCTAGTCCAGACTAACTGAATCTGAATCTCTGAGGGTGGGGCTCTGACATCTCTCTTTAAAGTTTTCCAGATGGGAGTGATGCACAGTGAAGTTTGAGAACCTAAGGCAGGAAGTGAAGAGGACATTAAAAGAAGAGGTTGAAGGTGTAGGGGAATTTGTAATGGAAAAAGTTCTACCCACTGGAGGAAGTACGGAACACTGGGGTGGGCCATGTAGGAGATGACTGATGTCTAGAGAGGCTTTTCTTTCTTTCAAAGGTAATAGGATGAAGAAAGGTGTCAGGATGAGAAACAGGAAAGGTTGTTAGTCCTCAGAGTTAAAACAAGAACTCATGTACACCTAGAGGGTCCCAACACTCTGCATTTTATGGTCTAGTCACCAATTTGTGGCCTTCATTCTAGGTTCCAATAGAATATGCATGATATGCTTAAAAAGTAGTACTCATTTGGTCTTCTGCTCTCCACAAATATCAACCCAGAGCTGATCAGGTTGAGTCTTATCATCCCAAGGTTCAGGTAAGGCTGAATCTTTATATAAATGACCAATGCTCACAGAATTTCCTGAAGGAGATACAGACATCTTAGTGTTCCTTAAAAAAAAAGTTCTCATCTAGGTTCCATTCAATCACTAAACATTTATTGAAGACTAGGGCTAAAATGTGTCCAAGTTTTTTTAATGCTACTGAATAATAAATAGTGTAGCTATTAAAAGCTTTTGTTCTGTAGCCACAGTTGGGACCTCTTTTCAAATCTTGATTTTGACTCCTGCCAGCTATATAACCTGTGTATGTTATTTAACCTCACTCAGCCTCATTTCTTCATCTATAAAAAATAATAATACAATAATAATAAAGTCTACCTTATAAGATTTTGGTGATTAAATTAGATAACCTTATAAGCACTACACATATGGTGAATGTTTCAGAAATTATAGTTATTAAGTGTGCAGATGTAAAGCAGGAGCTAGGAATGTGAAACTGCAAAGATATAGTTGCTGCTGTCAAATACCTCAACTTTTGGCTAGAGAAATAGGTATGTAAAGAAGAAAAAACAATCCAGTTTTGATAATTGTCAAGCTCAAAGTATACACTGGGTAGTCCATGGGACCATCAAGAGAAGGGCATTTAACTTTATCTGCAGAGTGAAGACAGGAAAAGACTTGCTAAAGGAGAGGAAGCCCAAGAGTGTGTCTTTAAGAGTAAAGACTAATGGAAGTTATCTACACAAAGCAGAAGGGAAACGGTTAAAAGTAAGACTTTCCAGGCCTTGGCCTAGAATGTGTAAAAGCCTGGCAGTAAAAGAAAAGCCAGCAGGGGATGGACGAAAATGGCAAAAGGGATTAAGAAGTACAAATTTCCAGTTATAAAAATAGTCATGGGGGTGTAAATTACAGCATAGGGAATACAGTCAATAATATTGTAATAACTATGTATGGTGCCAAGTGGGTTCTAGACTTACCTCACTTCTTAAAGTGTATAAATGTCTAATCACTGTTATACACCTGAAAGTAATACAATATTGTATGCCAACTGTAATTGAAAAATAAATTTTAAAAAAGAGAATGCCAGCAGTTGAGGGAGCATGAAATGGGTATGGGACACTGGGGACCATAGGAAGAATAGACAATAGAGAAAGATGGGGGCAGATCATGCAGGCCCTTGGATAGCATGCTAAAAAGCATGTGTAATGGGTAGTCATTTAAAGGTCTTTAACAAAGACAAGAATGCAGTGAGGTTATTATATTTCAAAAGATTACTCTGGCCCAACATAATAAATTGCAGGGAGCAAAATTGAAGACAACTAAATCAGGTGGGAAATACTGGTACCTTGGACTGAGATTATGGTTTGTGGGGATAAAAGGAAGAAGGTGGATTTAAGATGAGTTTGGAATATAGAATAGAGAGAATGTGGTGACAAACTAAGGTAGAATTAAAGTAGGAGTCAAAGAAGCTCCCAAATTTATGGCTTGGATAGTTGGACCAGTGCTGGGTTACCCAATATCCAGAATAAGCATGTGCTAAGTGCCACAAATCAGGGGTACCCAATATGTGGAAACATTGATTTGGGAATATTGTTTTTTAAAAGACTTAATCATTTTAGGAATGTCAGAACTTTTTAGACTTCCTTATATTTTTATGCTTTAGTATTGTTTTTATTTGAATTACATGTCGGAGAAGGGGGTGATCATAATCTTTTCATTACTTAGAGCCTCCCAAAGGAGGAGGTGTCTAAGGCCTTAATCCTTCTCTGATCTGGGTGGTTAGTGGTATCTTTTCACTGAGAACATGGACACTGGAGAAGGGCAAGTTTAGTGTAGTGCATGTATAGTCCATTTTTATGGGCAGAAGTTCTATAGCTTCAATTTTTCAGAGTGGTCTTTGATCCCCAAAAGATCACCAACCACCGGGAGTAGATTTACTATGAAGTAAATAAAGCTTCTGCAGAGTTTCTCATTGCCTGGGACTCATCCAAGGCCCTAGGAATTTTGTATTGTTTTTACTTAAAGGGAGCATTCTTTTCAAATTATATAAAGTGGTCCCACAAAAGCTGGATATATCCCGTGCTAATCACAGATTAGGGAATTATGCAACATTACTTAACATCTGGGAGTGGATGCCATCCAAGATGAACAAGTGTGAAGAAAGGATTGTGAAAGGCCAAAGAGTGTGATACGAAAGTCAGGAGGAGCAATGCAAACAAATAAAGAATGATAACTGAGGGAAGAGGAGGAGTTCAGACCACATTGTCAAGGAAGTAGAAAGAGAGATGGTTAGCCATGCCCAACATGAATGGGATATCAGGAAAAATAAGGAAATGATTACATGAGTAGCTAGGACACCTTCAAGGAAGTGGCAAAAACAGAAAGGTGGTTGTTCTGTTTTGCTTTCCTGAACAAATAAAAATGGTAGTTGAATAACTGTAAATGGTAACTACAGTTCATAAACATGCAGGGGGATAAAAGGATCAAAAGAAAACTCTTTAACTTCACTGTTCAGTTAAGATAATATTCATAAATAAAGTAAACTCACTGTCTTGGCCACTGTGGCTCAGTTGGTTGAGTGTAGTCCCATGTACCAAAAGGTCACCGGTTGGATTCCCAGTCAGGGTATACGCCTGGGTCTTAGGCTCGATCCCCAGTAGGAGATGTGTAGGAGGCAGCCAATCAAAGTTTCTCTCACATTGATGTTTTTCTCTCTCCCTCTCTCTCTAAAATCAATAAAAAACATTAAAAAATAAAGTAGGCTCACTGTAAAATTGAGATCTATACTGAAGTTAAGTTAGGTAGCACTTATATACTTTTCAAAATGGGTACTAAATGTGTTCCATGACCAAGCAAAGGCTTTGAGTGACAGTTGGTCCCCCCACTTCCTAATCCTGTATCCTAATCCTCTTAGTACTTGAATTTCCCTAGTTCTGCCCCATATCGCTGTCCCCTGGCTGATGAAATGGAGCAGTCAGAGAAGGTAGAAAAAGAGAAGAAGCCATAAGAATGAAATTTGAAAATAAAAGGTTTTGAATTTAAAATTATACTGGGTAACCCATAAAACTAGTAATTCATGTCTGGTTAATTAAATGTTGTCTGAAATTCAGCCTGAGGAAACATCTATTTGAACCAGAATGTTCTAAATTGGCCACCCTGGCAATTCTGAAGTTGATTGGTTTTATTTGGTGATACAGATTCATACTGACTTGCCCAGTATTAGGAGTGTGAATATTATTTTTTGAGGGTGAAATGCAGCCTTACCAGAGATGCATGCTCAAATTTGTTGATATGTGTATTATGGAAGCTACTAGATGCCATTTTACCTTTTCACAATAACTTCCTCTGGGATCAATTTGGGATCAACTAATTTCATTACAGTTCCCAACTTCATTTCTTCAATGATTATATTTTTAAAGACTTTTGACTTAACTTTTGATGCACTTGTTCATAATTGTGTCATTATGGAAAAAATTGTTACCTGGTTTTGAATGACTAATATGACAGAATGTAATAAGGACATGGAAAATAGCTATAAACTAATATGACTAAACCAAGGAACTGCTTTGAGGTTTCTAAGAACTAAATAAAATTAATTCAGTAAAAAGCAGTAATTTGTATTTTTTTACTAGCAAAATTCTGGGTAGGAAATCATTAAAACATTTTTAATGATAAAGATTTGTAATGTTATTGATTTACTGTATTATTCTTGTTGAAAGAAGACCAAGAGTCTATTAAGACATGCTTCATATTGTAAACATGTAAATGAAAGATGTTCCAGTTACTTGATAATTAGCTATGGTGAACATGGAAGCAATTCATAACACCTTTATAGATAAGATAAACAATTTTCTTTTCTATCCTTTTTCTTCTAACAGTAAGCCTTAGCTTGACTTGAGTGTAATGAATTTCTTCTTTAGTAAGCAGTATTTGATTTAACAAAGCCAGTTAAACACAACAACATAGATACCTGGTGGTTACATCATTGGACTGCTAGAAGGCATAAATCAGTTTGACTGCAGATTTTGTTTGGATTGGATTTTTGAAATTTATAAATTATTTAGGCAAACATTTTTTGGTCTGTTAGTTGGACCAAATTTCTGCAGTTAAGTATTGTTAGAATTGTGTTGGAATTAACTGTCTTTCAAATTTGTAACTGTTTTTGATTAATCTAATTGTACAACTTTTGGATGCCAAAACTATATCCCAAATAAATACATGTTAACATTTTGCCTTTAGCCAATAAGAAGAAAGAGAAAGAACGTCCAGAGATCTCTCTTCCTTCAGACTTTGAACATACAATTCATGTGGGGTTTGATGCAGTCACCGGGGAATTCACTGTGAGTAAGCTTATTTTGTTTTGTAAACCATGAAAAAAAATCCTTTATTATAATAGGTTTCAAGAAAAAATTTCCATGTGCCAAAATGCCAGACTTGAAGTTTTGACAGCAAGAATATTGGCAAAATAATTTTGTCAATCCTAAGAAAAGTGCCTGATGGCTATACAGTTTCCACTTGATTGAAAATGCTAGTTTACCATTGCATAGAAGATGTAGTACTAGTAGTTAGACCCTGCTTGATTGAATTTATTCTTTATCATTTGAAGTGAATCAGAGAATCATCGATTAAACTTTGACAGTGAAGACAATCTGTCTGAATAATTCAGGCTTTACATTGAAATCCGGATTACCCAGATTAGCTAACCACACACACTAACCAAAAACTCTGTAAAATTGACCTGTTTTTCCCTTTGATTCCAAGAACATAGCTTATTTTTTAGGCTTAACAGGTATATTTTATAGACATTCAAAAGACAAACCCCATGTTTTAGGAAGAAACATTGATGAATAGATATATATATATAATGTATGCTTTAGTGGATAAATATGGATAAGAATTCTCTAGAAAAGCCCATATATATATAGATCCAGCTTTTATTTGGATATCTGTAGTGCACAAATAGCACAAGATCTCAGATCTATGACACTTTATATTTAAGATCTGACTTTTTTTTTTAAGATGGAAGAAGGAAAAGATGTGGCTAGAAATATGTCCTCAGGAAGATCAACTATCTTTCCTGTACTAGCAAGAAACTCAGTCACAATGTGCATTCTGAGATAATGTGTAATTTTGAGTGCATTCAAACAAAAACATCTTTGATAGGACCATTATAAGTGATTCATGGATCCTTAAACCAGAGATAAATTTTGATATTAAATAATGGAATTTCCTGTAATACAGCATGATGGTTAGTGAGCAGACTGTCATATGATTATGTGAAAGAAATAAAGAGGTGGCAAATTAATTTGATTTGGGGGAGCAAACCATGTCTCTGATTGATAGTCAAATTATATTATATTTTCAATTCTGGAAGTAAGCAATATGAGAATGAAATGGAAATTGGGTAAACATCTTGGGCTTATAAAGTGATGTAAGCTAATTATTTCTATGTTCTCAGTAGCAAGAAGAAGAGAACATTAAGAAGTACTGACATTGAGAAATTTGAGATACTGGTAGGCCTTAACCAATTTCACCACTGGAGTCAGAGACATTATTCAAATGACCTTTTGTTTAGCCCAGCTTCTGTTCTTTACTATATGTGAGAATATTCTCTTAGCTATGCTTAGGAAATATAACCTCATTGTCACCACTATGACCACCATCATCACCACCAAATAATATTTTTTTATAATCTGAACAAGTTAAGATTTTTTTTAAAAAAATCTTAGATTGACTTTTTTTTACATTTGTAACAGTAAAACACTTAAGCTTTACAAGTTTTGTCTGATATATCTTCCCTTTTTTATTTGATGAACTTTATTTTTCCAGTTTTTGATCTTTTCATGTTCTATGTGCTTTCCCTCTGCTTAAATTTCTAAATTTTATTGTCTTTTATATATTTTTTCTTTCTTCTTCTTTTCACTTCCTGATGTAAAAGTTTTCTCCTCCACTATTCTCATGTGACATACTGTTTCCTTTCCAATTTTTTTCCTACTTTTTCCATCTTGCTTGACATCTTATACAATCTATCTTTAGCTCTTTCTTGTTTCTTTATGGGTTCTCAGTGGAAATAAAGGAAAGTGAATCTTTATCATCTTGCTGACTGCAGTCGGCCATTTTCACTTTTCTATCATTTAGAACCCAAATTACCAGCCAGAAAGGGATGGAGTGGGACATGTGATGGGCAATCTTTTTCAATTGTAAAAAACAGTTTGATGCAACTGAACCAAACCAGACAAAAACCCGTCCCTTCTTCCCCAAATCCCAATTTGAAATAAAGCAATTGTTTGGATGCAGTCACGTGTTAGAAATCCATTTGAATATATTGATAAGACACAGGCTAAATTTGGAAATCCGATGCACTTTATTCTCATCTTGATGATCTGTTACAACTACTTATCCACATATTATTTTTAAAGATGCCAAATTCTGCCTTTTTAAAAACTATCTTAACTTATTATTTACATTTACAAACTTTAAAAGTACAAAATGATAATAAGCTTTTAAAAATCATTTTACTGGGCCCTGGCCAGGTAGCTCAGTTGTTTAGAGCATTGACCCTATACACTAAGGTTGTGGGTTCATTCCCTGGTCAGGGCACATACAAGAATCAACCAATGAATGCATAAATAAATGGAACAACAAATCCATGTTTCTCTCTCTATCCCCCTTCGTCTCTCTCTAAAATCAATCAATAATTTTTTTAAAATCATTTTACTGGTAAGAATTAAAATTGGGTCCTAATTCCACAGTAACACTAATTCATTGCATGCATAGCTAATTTGATTATTGCAGTTGTTTACATTGAATTTTGAGCAATTAGTTCAACTATAGTGTCCGGCTGCCTTACAAGGGTTTGTTATTTTGAATATTTGGATACTGATTTGGTTTGTTGTTTGATGATTACCCTATGGCTAATTGGCCCTTATGACCTTGTACACCTGTTCATACACTTGGACCCTGAGATTAAAATTAAGATGGGAAGTGAGATTTGGGGTATTAAACTATTACAAGTCCTTACCCTTTATATTGACATTTTTGTCCCAAATACTTCAGAACTCCCCTTTCCACACCTCTAAACCTGTGACGGTCGCTTCAAGTCAATCAGAGGGCAAAATGGTATGAGTGATATAAATTATCATTTCTTATGATAAGATAGATGCTTGGCCTGTTGTATCATGCTGCCATTCTCTTGGGTTGCAATGGGAAATCCCCAGCTTGATGTACATCTACTAGTTATTGTATACATGGCAAGGCATTTATACCTGCTCCTGCTTCTGATGCTCTCACTTCTAGGTCTCCATTAGCTATCTAACTTTTGGAATTTGTACCTCAATTTGAAGTAATGAGATGGCTTTCTGATTACGTGCTTTTGTGGCATACCTTCAGATTTGAGTGTCAGGTTTTATTGATCAACTAGTTTATTTCAACTTAAAAAAGAAAATAGAAATTATGTCAAGAGTGTATTCATGTGGTAAGTAGAGTTATCTGGAGGATCTTCTGCAATTGACAGCATTTTCCCCCTGTGGCCTAGTGATCACAAGACTATTTATCACAAAAGTTTAGAAGTGCCATGAGAATGTATAATAACTGCAAATATTCTAATGATTATGATAATGATCATGCTAGTGATCTCTGCTCTAGTGGTTATGTGCAATGCATACCTGGTTTTGTAACATTTAATAACTCTTTTGGCCATTATAGTATTAACCAAATGCTATTAATTGCACTTAAAATCAGAACTGGGATCATGCATGGTCTCTTGAGTTCAAACTTTTGGCTTAAGGCTTCAGCATCAAATTGTGTGATGAATGCATGAAAAAATATTGTTTCACTGTGCTTGGAGCAACCCCAAATGCTAGGAATCAAAGGCCCATATCCCAAATTTAACCAGTTGGGTCAATGCATGTTTCTGTAGCATTGGAAATATCTTTATTTAGATAAAGTTGTTACTTATATTTGATCTTATTTTATAGGAGGCAAGACTTCAGAACTGTAGAATTAAAATGGAAATTATTCCTGTATGGTTTGAAATGAAATGGTTTCCCTTTCCCTGTTCTGAGTGTCTAAGAAATTCAAACACAGAGTCTGGCTGTGTAGGAAATCCCCCATCTAGTTTTCTCTAAGCCAGCCATGGCTTTAGCTACAAAATACAGAAGAATCACATTAATGAAAGCAAATGTTAAATGCAGCATCACCACATAACCATCCTTTGAATTTTAGCCACATAGACACTTCCGATGTAAAACTGAAAGTGATTAACTAGAATTGGGAACTGAAATTTATAAATTCAACTCATGGCCATTGGCTACCTGTGATCAATCACCAGTTACAAAAACAACTTACAAATTATTGTCAAAGCAGATTATAATGCCATCCTTCTTCCTTCCAAATTCATGATTCTGCCTTTTAGTAATTTCTTCAGTCATTTAATGATAATTCTTATTCTTGCATATTTATAGAGGAAGCATCTGGCCAAAAGTAGAATTATGTATCCAAACTTTGGAATATTATTGTTTTCTCTGTTTTTTTAAATCTGTTGTCCTATAGCCTGTCCTGCCCCTGATTTAGTTAATACCTCCCTATTTTTATAACCGCCCCACTTTAGATGGGATTACCCTTCCCATTCAGACCCATTGGTTTCATCTCCTCCCACCTTCTAAGTTGTCCCACATTCTGTTTTAACTTTCTTTTCTTTCTTTATTTACGTCCATTACAGCCAGATCTCTATGGCTCACAGATGTGCCCAGGGAAGCTCCCAGAGGTGCGTCACAGGCCCAAAAGAAGCTTGCATCAAAGTGCTTCTTTGAGATGTCATAGCACTGCAGCAGCAGGTTCATGTGTGTGCAGTAGAGTTGTTGCTTGGCTTATCTCACTTTTTTGTTGTCATTCCCAAACTCTGGAGGCCCACGTCACACATTGTTTTGCCGAGACTTCATAGGACAAAATCATCTAAATTGTGTCTAGATGCACTTCAGGAATAGTGTATCTGTTTCTCGCTCCAAGATGCTCTTGGAGGTTGAATAATTATGGAATGGGGGCATCTGTAGGCTGAACAAGTAGGAAAGAATACTGAATGCTTAATGCAAAACTAACCTCTCTATGTAATTTTTCAATTTTCCTTGGTTAGATTTCCAAATACTCCTTCCTCTCTGCTCAAATTGCTTCAAATTATTGCAAATTCTCACAAGGCTTTGGCATGGTTGTCACAGTCCCCAGGTTCTTTTATGTTGCCAGTGAATGAAGTGGGAAGGAGGGGATAGAGGGAGGAGACAATAAAGCTGCAGGGAAAATGCCCAAAGCAGCATTAATGTTACTAATTAACATTTCAGTGGTTATTGCTCCTCCACAATTCTGTCTTTGTCTCCTCTCAATCACCCTTTCTATTAAAGCTCTAGACTCCCAAAATTATATTTTATAATCACAAAGTATGAATTGACCAAGGGTGAGGTATTTCTTTTATTCTAAAAGATATTCTAATTACATGCCCAGAAACAGCTTATGTTATTCCAGTCAAATAAAATCTATTGATCTGCACTATACTATGCTGTGCACAAATATAGAGAAGTCTTGCTATGTCTGCCCTGAGTCACCAGAAAAAATAAGCTAAGCTGTAAACATCATTTCATGGATGAGCAGAGTTAATATAGAGGTGATTTTCATGCGCTTTTTTTTCTATCACAGTCATACTCCCACCCACCCTTTTTAAGTTGGATCTTAGTTTTACCTATGTGTTTTATTTAGAGAAGAGAATGATTGCATTATTAAGTTACTAACTTTAAATCTGGAGTGTAACTTCAGTTTCCCAAGTGAAATCCTACAGGTAGCATGGGCTTCTTGGTGAAGAACTTTACTGGACCAGAAAAATGTAGCTGCTGAATGTTCTGATATGCTATTCTTTGCCTTTGGTTGTCCACAGGGAATTCCTGAGCAATGGGCAAGATTACTCCAAACCTCCAACATAACAAAACTGGAACAGAAGAAGAACCCACAAGCAGTTTTAGATGTTCTCAAATTCTATGATTCCAAAGAAACAGTCAACAACCAGAAATATATGAGCTTTACATCAGGAGGTAAGAGCAAATCTAAGATATTAAAAAGTGAAAAAAATAATTCCAATCTCAGAGCCTGGGGATTAGCACAGAATACCTGTAGGGCATTTGAAGTCAGTTTTAGTTCCTTCTCTGAATGACTTCAACAGAAGTAAATCAAACTATGAGTTGGAAGTTGAAGTTGATGTTAATTGATTTACAGTGCCTGGATTGTTTTATTTTATTTTATTTTATTTTATTATTTAATTTTAAAATATATCTTTATTGATTTCAGAGAGAGGAAGGGAGAGAGAGAGAGATAGAAACATCAATGATGAGAGAATCATTGATCAGCTCCCTAGCCCGCAACATGGGCATGTGCCCTGATAGAGAATCGAACCCTGATCGCCTGGATCCTAGGTCGATGCTCAACTGGCCGGGCAGTGCTTGGATAATATTAGAACTGATATAAGGAAATTGTTCAATGAGGCAGTAATTGTCCATTTGAATCAGCAACGATAATTGTTGTTTTGTCTCTTCACTGGCATGAAGACACTCAGTTACTTACTATCAGGCCTTAGGCTACTTTTATCAGACCTCAAAATCAGACTTTAAAAAAGAAATCATGGCTTGTTATTGCTAAAAGAGTAAAAGTCCATAAGTCTGCCAAATTTCAACTTCATTTGCTAGTTTGTAGACCTGGCCTTTGCTTTAAGCTTTGATGTTCAAATTTGCACTATGAGCAAGTGAAATACATAAACCAAACAATACTTCTGCATTTGGAGAAATATTATCTGGGTTTCCTCTCAAGAAAACTTTCTTACTTAACATCTAAAGAAAGAACAGAATACTATTATTAGTGCCCCAGCTATGACAAGCCCATATTTTTTGGCATTGGTTTTAATATAAGGCAAGCTTGATCTCTTCAAGAATGGTGCAAAAATACACTTGGAAGGGGTGGTTTCTGATTTAGCCATCTCAAATACCAAAGACCAAACTTAAAGGCATATGCAATTTATCTGTTAAATAGGACTCTTTTAAAATATATATATTTTTTATTTATTTCAGAGAGAAGAAGGGAGATAGAGAGATAGAAACATCAATGATGAGAGAGAGTCATTGATTGGCTACCTCCTGCATGCCCCCCACTGAGGATTGAGCCTGCAACCTGGGCATGGGCCCTGACCGGGAATCGAACCGAGATCTCCAGGTTCATAAGTTGATGCTCAACTGCTGAGCCACGCAAGCCAGGCAAAATAGGGCTCTTTATAATGAGAAGATTAACTTCTGTTATCCAATGGCAAAAACCTAAAAGAAAAAAAAAAAGGCATCAAGAAATTTTTATGATATTTAATCTATCACATGGAATAAAATATTTAAGATATCCTGGTTACATCAAGAAACACTCAATGTGAGGAAATCTAGAGCTAAGCTCCAAGTGCACTGTAGAACCCCAGGAGATGAGAACTAAAAATGCATTCAAGAAATCATTTCATTGTACCCATTAATACTTTTCAGATTATCAGAATTTGTCTTTATTCTAAGTTACCACTGTTCTTTAACCCTTTTATTTTTGTGTTGAATTCTTTCAACTTACAAAGAAGAAATCTTAAAAATTATGTTGAGCCCAGCCTGGCATGGCTCAGCGGTTGAGCATCAACCCAGGATCCAAGCTATCAGGGTTCAATTCCCAGTCAGGGCACATACCCAGGTTGTGGGTTGGATCCCCAGTCTGGGGCTTGCAGGAGGCAGCCAATCAATGACTCTCTTATCATTGATGTTTCTATCTCTCTCTCTCCCTTTCCTTTCCTTTCCTTTCTCTGAAATCAATGAAGATATATATATATTTTTTAATTATGTTGAAACTCAGCAGTATCTGAGTTATTACACTATTCTGAGTTGAGTGAAACACCACCTTATGTTTTCTTGATGTTCTAATGTCACAATTGGCTAATAATATGTCAGGGAGAGGAATAGTAGGGGAGAGGGAGAGTAGGGGAGAGGAAGGGCGGGTAGAAGGGAGGAAGGGAAAAGAGGGAGAGAAGGGAGACGGAAAGAGGAAGTGGTAGACAAATTCTAGATATATATGTACAGTAGCTCTCCTTATCCATGTTTTTGCTTTTTGTGGTTTTAGTTATCCATGGTCAACCATGGTCTAAAAATATTAATTGAAATTTTCTGGGACTAAATAACTCATAAATTTTAAATTTTGTGCTGTTTTGAGTAATGAAATGAAATCTCATGTGGTCCTGTTCCATCCCACCTGGAATATGAATCATTCCTTGTTTAGTGTGTCCACACTGCACATGCTCCCTGCCTGTTAGTATCTTAGTAGCCATCTAGGTTATTATATCAGCTGTCAAGGTATTGCAGCACTTGTGTTCAAGTAAACCCTATTTTACTTAATAATTTCCCCAAAGCACAAGAGTAGTGATGCTGGCAATTCAGTTACACCAAAGAGAATCCATAAAGTGCTTTATTTAAGTGAAAAGTTGAACGTTGTCAACTTAATAGGGAAAAAAAAAACCTCATATGCTGAAGTTGCTAAGATCTATGGTCAGAACAAATCTTCTATTCATAATTGTGAAGAAGAAATCCATGCTAGTTTTGCTTTCATGACTCAAACTGCAAAAGTTACAGTCACACTGTGTGATAGATGCTTAGTTAAAATAGAAAAGGCATTGAATTTGTGGATAGAAGACATGAACAGAAAACCTAGATCCCATAAATTCTCACTTAATGTCCTCCATACATTCTTTGAACTGTGGCCAAACAACATATAATGAAACCAATTTTACCATAGGCTAATTGATATAAACAAGAGTTAAGTTTCTACAGCATCTCATCAATGGTTATAAGAAAGCAATGTTGAATGAAACAATGCTATTTCAGGACCTACTCTGTGTGTGTGTGTGTGTGTGTGTGTGTGTGTGTGTGTGTGTGTGTGTGTGTGCCACCTGAGAGCAGAGTTAGGTATTATCTCAGGTTTCAGGCCTGAATGTATCCCCCACATTGGAGGGACTACTGTATAGAATCATTCCAATCCAGGAATGGGTAATCTTAACATTTTTCCATATACATGAGAGTCACTGGAGGCCTTCATTGAAGGTCTATAAAATAATATGGTGATAATATGTTGAGGATGTAAGAGTGTGAATTATATTAAGAAAAAATATCATTTGTCATAATATCTAATAATGAACTGGAGACTTTTCTTCTGGTCACACACATGCAGTTTTTTTTAAAGTATCACTTTTAAGTAAGGCAGTCTTTATGAAACAAAGGTGACAATTTTATCTTCACTTTTCAGATAAAAGTGCACATGGATACATAGCAGCCCATCCTTCGGTAAGTGAAAAATTTTAAACAGTTTTGTGTAATCAGTGTTTTTGGTAGTCCAACAGATTGTAATTGTGCAGATCTAGATTTTTAGATATAAAATCTTTTAAAAATTGTTTTTAAAAGTATAATTTAGATACATACTGTACGATTCTATTTATATGAGTTACCTAGAATAGTCAAAATCATAGAGACAGAAAGTGGTTGCTAGGAGAAACAGAAATGGGGTGTTATAGAGTTCTAGTGTTGCAAGATGAAAAGCCTTCTGGAGATTGTTGGTAGCGATGGTTGTACAACAATGTGAATACATTTGACACTACTGAACTGTACACTTAAAATAGTTAAGATGCTAAATTTTATGTTATGTATGTTTTACCACAATTAAAAATAAAATTAAAAAACAAGAATTAAGGCCTTGGATGTAGGTGTTTAGTCTTATTCATTCCCTTACAAGCTGAGCAAATTTGGGGAAATGGCTTAGCTCCTCTGAACATCTCTCTTTCTTCAGCTTTAACTGAGAATAACAGTACCTACCTCCTAAAACTTGTGTGAATATTGAATGTGGCAATGTATATAATATACTTAGTACAGTACCTAGCACATGCTATGTTTTTATTAATTGTAAGCTACTATTACTATTATTTTTTAAATGGCAACAAGAGGAAAAGCTGTCCCCATACAAAAGGCTTGTGTGTGGTGATGGTATTTGCACCTTGCTCAGATTTCCCAAAAGACAACAGACTATAGCCCTGGTATTCTCACTTGTCATTTCCCCTTCTCCTTTTTCTTTGCCATGACAGCTTATTGGGCCACACTGAAAACAGCATGTGAAGGGAAGTAATAACAAAGTGGGAAAGACAAAAATGTCAACCTTCCATGACCAACACATACCTTATGTCCCTTGATTTAATTAATATCATTATTGTGTAATACTGACTAGGTATCCTGACAAATAAATAATTTTATTTTTTAGGTAGGTCAGCTGTTTTAAATATCAATCTGCTAGGATGGTCTGTGTATTTATTTTTATTTTGTAAATAGCTTATATCTCTTAAGAGATTGGCTTTTTTGAGCTTACTTCTATTGGTTTTGCTTGTATAATTAAAACTAAATATATATAATGACCAAAATATTCGATCAAATCAGAAAAATATGATGATTTCACTGTTTGAAGATAAAGCCACAGGATATTTACTTATTAAACATATATTTATCAAGTGTTTCCTTAAAATCACTGGGAAATTTGAAGCTCAGTCTAGTAAGGGGAAAAGTATGAACATAAACAAGCTTAATACAATATGGATCATGTTATATACCATATATTATGTTCATTTGCTATGAGAATTCAGAGAAAAGAGATCACTTTTAGTTGAAGAAGCTAAAGGAAGCAGGCCCTTGTCCCAAGGGCTTAAGCTCAGTGCCTGGTGAAAAATAGGTCTTGGGACATATTTATTGAAGGTTGAGTTAGAAAATGATTTATAATGAAGGTGGCATTTGAGATAGATCTTGCAAATCACATGGGATTTGGCTCTGTGAAGATGGAGAAGGGCATTCTAAGCAAAAGGCAGAGTATGAAAAAGGACATGATAGTGAGGAGAGTAAGGAGAGAAACTGATGTAGGATTGAGTGAAGGCTGAGTTGCAAGAAAGGGAATCATAGCCTTGAAAGTTAACTTGGAGCCAAATCATAGAGGCCCTTAAATGGTATTTTAAGGAATCTGGCTTTTTTTCAGTGTATAGTGGAAAGCTCTTGAAGTTTTTTAGAACAAGAGTATTAGATGATTAAAGCTTATGCTTTGAGAAGACTAGTATGACAGCAAATGTCCAGAATAAATTAAGGACAGATGAGACTGAATGAAAGGAGATCAGTTGGGGGAGTATTGAAAGCCTCCAAGCCAGAGGTAATGAGGCCCTAAGTGAGATAATGGCAGTAGGAATGGAGACTAAATTCAAATTCCCGAGATGGTTAGGGTAATGATTGGATGTTGGGGAAAAAGTTGAGGTCAAAGATGACTGCAGGCTTAAAATGATATGTGGCTGGCCAGAAAGATGGGGATGTCACCTTTCAGGAGTTGCAAACTTCTTTGAAAAGATGCTGAGTTTCCTCTTGGATGGTTTGAGTTTGAAGGGTTGGCAGGGCAGGACTTCCAGGTGGAGATAATTGATTAAACTGCTTGACTAAAGCTAGATTTCTATCAACTGAATGAACTGAATTAGACCTTTAAGTTCAGGTCACTTCAGTGGAACTCAGTTACTTAAGAACAGAGAACTTGTGTTCTCCTTATGGTTCTAAAGGTAGACTGCACTTTGCATTGCTTATTATTATTATTATTATTATCTATTATTATTTTGCATTAGGAACATTCTCAGTAGACCTAGCTATCCTATAGTATCCGATTTAATAGGACTGACAACACTTTATAGACATAGCCTGAAGTGATCACAAGTTTTGCCATCCTCTAGTAGCCTGGGTGGGAATTAAAATAGAAGCAATGTTGTATTCACTAAATGTTTTTAAATACTGGCTATATAATTATTATTGAATTCAGCAATACCTCCCATAGTCATATGACATCTGCTTTACTTCTCACTCTGGTAGCTTCTTTGATATTATTGTATTAAATGCTAAATACTTTTCATGGACTTACTCTTCAATTTGAGGGTACATTTTGCATTTTAAATTTTATATTTTTGTCGAACTATTGAGAATGAAATAATGCATTTAGAATCCTGGGCTAGTATTCCAAGTAGAAGGTAATAGCAAAAATATAAATACACCATGATTTGTGCCTAGAGAACCTAGATGTTCAGTTGACAGATTGTGCTTTTGATTTGCAGTACTCATTTACTTTGCCCATCTAAATTAGTGGTTCTTTTACTTCATTGTGAATCAGAATTGCCTGCGGAATCTGTTAAAATGCAGATTCCAAGACTCTACTTTGCACAGTAGATCTGAAATGGATCCTTGATCTCTGCATTTTAAACAAGAACTGAAAGTGACTCAGACCACACCTTGTATTATTTAAATTCTCCAAAGTCCTTACATCTAATTCCTTTGACCTTTAAAAATTAAAACTGAAAAATAAAGAAACATAAATTTCTTTAAATAATTAACTCAAAGAAAGGACAGTTTTCTGAGGTAGTTTCTCTAGCTGTTGTACTCTCTAGAGCAGGGTTTATAACTTGGAGTCCATGGATGGGCTTCAGAAGATCTATAAACCCTTGAAATTATATGCAAGAGCATGTATATACTTGTATTTTTTGTGGGGGGTGGATAGGCCAAATCCTTCAGAATTCTAAAAGACTCCAGGACCCAATTCAGGTTAAAAATTACCTCCCCTGTCCCAGTGTATGGCATAATAAGAGTGTCAAAAATACCTAATTTCAAAAAGACAAAAACATTCCTTACTTGTTATCCATCTATATTTTTATAAGTTTAGACATATTAAACATAATAATTGTCAGCCTGGAAGGAAAAGTGTAGCAACATTATACCTTTGTCTCCCAAAAAAAAAAGCAGCCAGAAAAACCTGTTAATCAAGCAAACCTAAGTTTATTAAACTTACAGCAATAAGCAAGGCTCCTACCTGGTCTGTTGCATGACGAATCTCAGAGGGAAGGGAAGGGGGAGGGCAAGAAGAGATTAACCAAAGAATTTATATGTATATATGCATAACCCGTGGACACAGACAATAGTGCAGTGAAGGCCTGGTGAGGGGGCGGGAGCAGGGTCAATGGGGAAAAAAGGGGGATATCTGTAATACTTTCAACAATAGATATATTTTTTTAAAAAAAGAGTCCTACCTTGATCATCTTAGCTGTGTCTTAGAAAGAAGGTGTCAAGGGGAAATATTTATAGGGTTTTAGTGCATGTCTGTGTGATTTTGAAGCAGGTCTAGCAAGGTAATGAACAGGTTAGAATTGTACAGTGTTGTGTTAAAATAGCATCGAAATAACTTTGGATTGGCAAATGTAGTGAAATGAAGGGCTTGAAGAGAGTGTTGGTGAGCAGGCCATTTTTTTAATTGAATTTATTGAGGTGACACTGATTCACAAAATTATACAGGTTTCAGGTGTACAATTCCACAACACATCATCTATACACTGTGTTGTGTGTCCACCACCCCAAGTCAACTCCCTGTCCATCACCATTTATTCCCCCTATACCTTCCTTCAACTCTCACCCAACCCCTCCGGCAATCACCACACTGTTGTCCATGTCCATGAGTGTTTTTCTCTTTTTTTCCTTTATCTTTCTTGCTCAATCTCTCCAACCCCCCACCCAGCCTACCAACCCCCACAACCTGACAGCAGTCAGTCTGCTTTCTATCTATGAGTCTGTCTCTGTTTTGCTTGTTAGTTCATTTTGTTCATTAGATTCCACATATAAGTGAAATCATATGGTACTTGTCTTCCTCTGACTGGCTTATTTCACTTAGCATAATGCTCTTTAAGTCCATTCATGCTGTCACAAAGGGTAAGAGTTCCTCCTTTTTTATGGCCGAGTAGTACTTCATTGTGTAAATGTACCACAGGTCCATTCATTTACTAATGGGCACTCGAGCTGTTTCCAAATCTTGGCTATCACAAATAACACTGCAATGAACATAGAGGTGCATATATTCTTTTGAATTAGTGTTTCAGGTTTCTTCAAATAAATTCCCAGAAGTGGAATGGCTGGGTTATAAGGCAGTTCCATCTTTAAATTTTTGAAGTAACTTCATACCACTTTCCCCAATGGCTGCACCAATCTGCATTCCAACAGTACTTCAGTCTGTTCAGTCTTATCTTCCCAGAACAAGTACTTTTTAAAATAAGAAGCTAAGTCATTTTTGTTTGTCTTCAATATTGTTTGATATAAGAACAGGAAAATATACTGTATTTTGATATTATTTAACATAGGGGGAAAAGTGTGCCCAGACCCAATATTATTTATACAGAGATAGTAAAGTATGCCAGGTCCTAGTATTATTTAACTGGGGCAGGAACTAATATTAATTTCAGGTCTCAGTACCATGGACTAGTATTCTAGGTTTATTGCTGGTTCGTTAATGTTCCCTGGCCCAATCATCATCTAAAACATAATGTCCACTGAAGGCCACACATACTTTCCAACCAAACAATCAACATGGCAGCATAGTATTTTCTCCTAGATGCATGATAATATCTGTCTTCCTTCACCCTAAAAACCTTCAGAGGCTAAAAACCTTTAGATTTTCTAATTAATTCCTTAGTCCATCCATGAAGATAGGGAATGTCCCCATATCAAATGAAAATAGTGAGAATAGAAAGAGTCAGTGAAATTTTGCAGAAGGATTTTTTTCTAGCAAAATAATAATTGAAATGTGCAAGGTTGCCTCTTGACCAGTAGGCACTGATTGGTCTTTGAACCAGTTTAAGGGCTGGGCCAAGATACTCAGACCTGGGCCCATTATATTTGCCACCAGGGCCATTCTTAGTACTTCATAGGCTATATACACACTCTCACTTATGGAAGCCACATGATGCTTTATATCAAATATATTAAAGAGCCCTTATACCTCACTTTATATTTTGCTGTAAACTTTTTAAAGTGATTTTTAAAATAATGATTTTGAAATTATTTGATTACAGGTAACATTTGACTTATGGTTAAGAATAATTTATTGGAAATCATTGTCAATACTCAAGAATTGCTGCTAAATAAGACAATCTATCCTACAATTTGTTTTTAATAAAATTTCCTATAAATATTAAATTTAAATAACTAGTTAATATATAATTATACTTAATTGACATTTAATTAAACATTAATTAATTTAGATTTTATAGTTTTCTTGTGGTATTTTGGAGTTAATGATTTATTTCCCACTTAAAACTTTTTTCCAGGCCCGCATATATCGTATTATCCTTACACATGGTTCACATTGCCTAATAGATAAAATAGCATTGTCTGCCATATAAAGTGTATTCAATTTATATGCAGGTTCTGCCCTTCTACCAAGGAATGGTGTTTACATGTATTCTTGATCCCAGTTGGCATAAAGATAGAACAGAAATTTCTAGAACAAAATAATATCAAAGTAAATACCAATACCCTAAAACAATTTCTCCCTGTGCTCACTGAGGTGCCCTGAAGAGTTAGCTTTTCACAAGAAGAAGCTGACTTTTTTGACCTGAAAACTTAATGTCATTAACATATGTTGCTATCCATACAGCCACAATACAATATAGTAGCTTAGCTGTTTTGGCTAATTTAAAAACAAATATAGGTGCAGAAACAGACTGGTACACACAGAGAACAGACTGATGGTTATCAGAGGGGAGGAGTGCTGAGGGACTTGGTGAAAAATGTGAAAGGATTGAGAAGTACAGATTGGTAGTTATAAAACAGTCATGGGGATGTAAAGTACAGCATAGGGAATATAGTCAATAATATTGTAATATCTATGAATGGTGCCAGGTGGGTACTGGAAATATCTTGGGGAACACTTTGTAAAATATATGATTGCCTAACCACTATGTTGTACAGCTGAAACTAATAAAAAAATAATATTGAATGCATACAGTAATTGAAAAAATAAATAAATAAAAAATTTCCTGACTTGCTAGATAAAAAGAAAATAAATATAAGTGTATAAATAAGAAAATCAATATCAAGCAAGCATATACACTTTAATCTATAAACCACTAAGTATGTATATCAGGCAATCAAATATTCTTTCAGATTCTTATTTATAAACTTTAAGGTGTCTTCCTTCTCACAAGAGATAAACCTTGCCGACTCCGATCAGATATGTGATTATACCTTATTATTCCACCATAGGTTTCTACATGATTGTAGAAAATCCACAGTGAACTTATAATCATAGACTGAGGTCATTTATGTAAATCTAATTAGTAGGCTGCCTGTGTCTGACTTAAGAGTGTTGTCCTCAAGAAATGAAAATTCTTTTTAGGATTAACCTGAGCCAGTATACCTGAAGGCAAAAACAAAGAAATATATATACATAGGGTCCCAAAAGATGTAGACACATTTTGAATAATTATAAAGGCAGTGTTTATTAAAATACACTTCATTTTCAAAATGTAATTGAAATCAGCTGTTAAAGTATGTATACATTTTTGGGGCACCCTGTACATGCACAAACAAAACAAAAAATTGGGGGATAAATGGGGGGAAATTGGGGGACATCTGTAATACTGTCAACAATAAAACAAGGAAAAAATACCATCTATAATAGTGCTTTCCAAAAGAAATTTAGTGAAAGCTATATATGTAACTTTAAATTTTCCAGTAGACATATTTAAAAATGTAAAAATAAATAAGTGAAATTATTATTTTTTAAAAATATATCTTCATTGATTTCAGAGAGAGGAAGGGAGAGGAGAGAGGGAGATAGAAACATTAATGTTGAGAGAGTCATTGATCGAGCCCACAACCAGGGCATGTGCCCTGACAGGGAATCGAACCCCGATCGCCTGGATCCTAGGTCGACGCTCAACCACTGAGCCACACCCAGCTGGGTATTTTTATTATTATTATATTTTAACCCTCATCTGAGGATATGTTTTATTGATTTTTAGAGAGAGAGAGAGAGAGAGAAACATCGATGTGAGAAACACCGATTGTTTGCCTCCCATATGCATCCTGACTGGGGGTTGAACCCACAACCTAGGTATGTGCACTGACCAGGATTCAAACTCACAACCTTTTGGTGTATGGAACAATGCTCCAACCAACTGAGCTACCTGGCCAGGACAGGTGAAATTATTTTTAATAAAATATTTTACTTAGTCAAATATATTTAAAATGTTACCATGTCAATATGTATACTCTATAAAAATCATAAGGAAATATTACCCATTTTTTCATATTGCATATTTAATATCTGGTATGCACTTTACAGTTGCAACTCATCTCAATTCAGACTAACCAATTAACAGTGTTCAATAACCATGTATGTGTTCAATAGCCATGTATGGCTAGTGGCTGCCATATTGGACAGCACATATCTATATCATAGTTCACTGGGTTTTAAACTTGAGCCTGTATCAAGATCATCTGCAAAGCTTACTATAACAAAGATTGCAAGGCCCCACTTCGAGAGTTTCTGATTTATGGATCTGGATGGAGCCTGAGAATTTGCATTCTAACAAGTTCCTTGATAATGCTGATGATGCTGATCTGTGGATAACAATTTGAGAACCATGACCATAGCTCTTTCAAAATCCAACTTTGGTACCATTTTATACCTGTATTAACATGAATAACCAAGAATTGACCCTTGATGCTATGGTTGTTGTTATTTTTGGTGCTGGTGTTATTGCATTTTTTAACATTACAAGTCACCATTTACCTGTTGGTTAAGATTGAATAATTATTTATGAAGATAGGCACTCCTTAGATTTTCATGTCTGTTACTCTCTGAGAGCTTCATTTCAGGAGGCTGAACAGGAAAGAAACATTCATGGGCTTGCTTATACTTAGTATTTGCAGAGCTGTCTTAATACCATATCCATACACATGCTCTGATCTGTAAGCACAAAATAGGCCTTTTCTGGTTAACAATCTGTCAATAATTGGCCCAGTCCAAATTCAAAGCTTTAATTGTAATTCAGTTGATTTTTTTTCACTTGATTTTTAAAATATATTCATTGATTTCAAAAACATTGAATTTTAAAATAGTAAATGAATAACTCACTGTTTTTTTAGCTCAATGAAAAATAAAAAGAATTTTTAAATTTTCATGCTGTTTAAACAATGACCTGAATTTATCTCTGAATGTGGGCACTTCCTGGACACCAAATTTTAAATGGTTCTGTTCCTTTGTAAAAGATTCAGTTCCCTCCTAACTCTTCTGGGTGAAATATTTCATTTTCCTGGTCTCATTTCTAAAGGAAAGCAATGAGGATTTAATACTTAATCTTTTAACTTTTTTTTTGTCATAAGAGTACAAAAACAGCATCAGAGCCTCCTTTGGCTCCTCCTGTGTCTGAAGAAGAAGATGAAGAAGAGGAAGAAGAAGAAGACGACAATGAGCCTCCACCAGTTATTGCACCAAGACCTGAGCATACAAAATCAGTAAGTCACAAGTGACTATTTCCAAATGATTCAAAAGATGTTCTTTGGAACACTCATATAGTGAGAATCTAGCTAATCAACTAGTACCTACTAAACATCTTATTATGTTCCAAAAGTTGGGGATATAAGATTAGCACATGACAATTAGTGAATAATACCTAACAATATACAAATAAGTGCTGAGTCATAAAACTGCTGCAGAGGCTAAGATAGAGAAGAAAATTCATGTGCTTCAGGTAGGAAGGCTGGAATAAGCAGAGACACCAGTACCAGAATTAGCACAGCATATATGGGAATCGCTAAGGACTAGCTCCTCAAAGCTTTCAAGGGCAGTATACTTGAAGCAACTTAAAGTGTTATTTTTAAAAATAGAAATCACTTGTTTTTTAAAAACTCAATGAGGTTTGTGGTGCAGGGTAGAAGGAGGGCTGAGTAGACAGAGCACAGAGAATTTTTAGGGCAGTGAAAATACTCTGCATGATACCATAATGATAGATAAGTGTCATTATGCATTTATCCAAACCCATAGAAAGTACTACACTCAGAGTGAACTGTATGTAAATTATGGACTTTGGGTGATTATGATATCGATGTAGGTTCATCAGTTGTAACAAATGCACCAATCATGTGAGGGAATGTTGATAACAGGTGAAGTTATGCATGTGTAGGGGCAGGGGTATATGGGAAACCTGTGTACTTTCCCCTAAATTTTGCCAAGAACCTAAAAACTTCTTAAAAATTTATCTTGATTTAAAAAACAAAAACCTTACTGATATGACAATGTCTTGACTTCCTACTCTTTCCTTGGCCTGCTGTTTTAATTGTAGAATTTTTTTTCTTATCTGTAAGATCTATACTCGTTCTGTGGTTGAATCCATTGCTTCACCAGCAGCACCAAATAAAGAGGTCACACCACCTTCTGCTGAGAATGCCAATTCCAGTACTTTGTATAGAAACACAGATCGACAAAGGAAAAAATCCAAGATGACAGATGAGGAGATCCTAGAGAAGCTAAGTGAGTCTTTTGCCATCATTACTTTCTTCATGGAATGTTTTTTCATAAAATAGAATGGAAATTGATCCTTTAGAAGTTTAAATCAGCTCGTATGAACTCCAGGCTCCCTGAAGTCACAAAATGTAAAGTTTGGGATTCACTGTGTATTCTAGATCACTCCCTCTCTCACACTCCTAATTTGACAGAAGCTAAATATTCTCACTTGAAAAAATCAATTAAGCTGAAAACTTGACAAAATGAATTAAGTAATAAGTTTTATTTTAAGATTACACTCCCAAAAGGAACAAAATAGTCTGGATGATCATACTCCAAGGCTCCACTGACCAATCATGATAGGTAAGTCAGTCAAAACCCAACACAGTCCATCAAAACTGGAAGCCACAATAATATAGCCTTTTCCCTTAATTTAGAAGCATTTGTATATGAAGAGAGAGCATGGCCAGCAAATACTAACAACCTCTTTTCCACAGTGTCATTAGTGTGTACATGCTTGTCCATACACATTCACTCCAGTTTTGCAAAAACACTCTTCCAGTTAGCATTCTTGGTCAAAGAGATTTAAAAAAAAAAAAAATTCTCTGCTGAAAAGAGTCAAAGGTCTGTGAAATATATTCATTAAAATCATATTACAAAATCATTTAACAAATTACTAGTTATCTGCAATCAGTGCCCTCAGTCTAACTCCTACTCATCCTTCAAAACTCAGCTCAAATGCTGCCTCCTCAGGAAAGTCTTCCTTGTCTCTCCCAGTCTGAATTAAGTGCCCCTCTTCTTTGCTGTCTTTATGGCAAAAAAATATCACATTATATTAATCTATCTCCTTCCTTCACTTAGACTGTGAGCTCATCAAGGCAGGGACTGTGTCTTCCTTTCCTATACGTCCAACTTTAATGAAGTAAAGGCACTTAACAAATGTTTCTTGAGTGAATGGATGAAAAAATAAACAAGCAAATATATCTTTACTAGGCTCTACCTTGTTTGTTGTATGCCAGAATCTTTGGAGCAAACAATAGAAAAACAATTTCCTGCCATCAAGAAACTTACAATTTTATTTGAAAGATAAAATTTAAGAGTGTGATACAATTAGAGAATAGGAGGCCATTTTATTTCAAATAAATGTCTATCTAAAAAGCCACAGAAAAGTAAGAGAGCAGTTCAGGGGAGCTATATGTCACAGGAAGACTCTACAGAGGTGGTTGTTGGGCCATTTTGCCTTCTGGTGGACATTTGGCAATGTCTAGAGACATGTTAGTTGTCATGACACAGGGAGTGTTGCAGACATCAGGTGGGATAGACTAGGGATGGTTCTAAATACTCTACAACGTAAATGACAACATCCCTCCTTTCTGCTCTGCAACAAAGAATTATTCAGCCCCAATGTCAACAGTGCTGAGGTTGAAACATTCTGAGCTACAGGTATTTTAGAAAAGCAAAGGTTCAGGTTGAAGCTGTCTGTGAGCACTCAGAACTGGAATTGCTGAACTTAGCCAACTGACTATACTATACTATACATGATTAAATATTCCTCTAGTGCTAATACCAACTATTTGCTGTAATAATATTAGAAATTATTTCCATTTATTGAGCACTTTCTGCAGCGGCCACTTTCCATACATTATCAGGCTTAATTTTCACAATAATCCCTTGTGGTAGATTTTAATAGCCTCATTTTACAGATTGGTGAAATTATCCCTCAAAAAGCTACACTAATGACTGGCAGAGCCAGAGTTTGAACTCAAATCTGTTTGCCTTTGAAGCTTATACTATTGCCATTACTCACTTTGCATCCAAATATTCCAACTGTCTATATGTGGAAAAGGAAAAGGAAAAGGAAAAGGAAAAGGAAAAGGAAAAGGAAAAGGAAAAGGAAAAGGAAAAGGAAAAGGAAAAGGAAAAGGAAAAGGAAAAGGAAAAGGAAAAGGAAAAGGAAAAGGAAAAGGAAAAGGAAAAGGAAAAGGAAAAGGAAAAGGAAAAGGAAAAGGAAAAGGAAAAGGAAAAGGAAAAGGAAAAGGAAAAGGAAAAGGAAAAGGAAAAGGAAAAGGAAAAGGAAAAGGAAAAGGAAAAGGAAAAGGAAAAGGAAAAGGAAAAGGAAAAGGAAAAGGAAAAGGAAAAGGAAAAGGAAAAGGAAAAGGAAAAGGAAAAGGAAAAGGAAAAGGAAAAGGAAAAGGAAAAGGAAAAGGAAAAGGAAAAGGAAAAGGAAAAGGAAAAGGAAAAGGAAAAGGAAAAGGAAAAGGAAAAGGAAAAGGAAAAGGAAAAGGAAAAGGAAAAGGAAAAGGAAAAGGAAAAGGAAAAGGAAAAGGAAAGAATTGCCTTGATAATTTCAGTTCAGTTACTCAGACAATTGCTTCAATTTTTTCCTTTATTTTGTACATGTAGACAAGACCTAAGAGATTTATTAGACATTAAAAATTGAACAGCCTCGCTTTTGTAAAAATGACTGTTATTTGGTATCTGTTTTAGATTTATTATAATTAAAATGCATTTATAGCTTTCTTAAGTTCAATGACAGAGAAACAAGCACTTTCTTCTTGGGCCAGAATCTTGCTTTGCTTCCCAAATGGTAATAATACTGGAGCTGTGGACTTTATAATTTGGTGTTTATACTGTTCTGCATTGAGCAACATGATGAAGAGGAGAAAACTACCTTTGATTGTACTTTAAATTAAGAATTAAGTGTTTTCTTCTCTGTTGGAGAATGCTGGGGTCTAGACAGAATCATTTTCCCTCTAGCCAGTGGGCCACCTATGACTGCCAATCCTACCTTGTACTTATAAGGCCTTGGCAGGGAGAACCTGCAAAGAAATGGGAGATTACATCTCATGAATCAGATTCAGGCTGAGTTCTACTGCATAGTCTGCAAAGTCAATCTTTCCTGCTCCTGCTCCACAAGCACCCTCTCTATGCCCTTAACAAGTTATTTAACCCCTCTCAGCCTCAGTCTCTTACCTGTCAAATTGGGATACAAATCATAACTACATATTAGTATTCTGTCTATAGAATGGATTTTATGTAGCTCTACTAATGGATGAAAGGACAGGTATTGGAGTCAGAAAGGCCCTGCAATTTAAATTACAAGCTGATTGCCAACAGCTATCTCACTTTGGGCACGTTATTTAACTTTTCTGGACCTCTTTTTCCTCATTTAGAAAAATAGGAGTAAGAATAGTACCCAATTCATAGCATTATGATAATTAAACGAGAATAATACATATAAAAATCTGGTACAAAATAGGTGTTCAATAAGTGATAGTAACTATTTTATTACATAAGTATAAAGCCTTATTAAGATAATACAATGAGACAGGCTTTGAAATGAACCATAACTGAGTTTCAGTCATAAACCTAAACTAGCTGTGTGTCCTTAGGCAAGTCACTCAACTCTAAACTTCAGTTTCTTCATCTGAAAAATGGATATAACAATAATACTGATATAATAGGGATTTTGTGAGGACTAAATGAAGTGTAAAGTATATAAGACACCTAGCACAATAAATAGTAGTATACTATTTTTATGTTATTTTTCCAAAATGATGGCAACCATGTTTTTTTATATAAAAAGTGGAGCATGGGGTCTTCCAGTGGGGCAAATATTTGAAATCAGGAATAATTCCAGATGTATGACCCCTGTACAGAAGTCATTGAGAGCCTTGGAATCAAAGCCCTCATTCGAGCTTGAGGAAGGAGTAGAGGAGCATGTACTGAGGTAAAGGAAATGGGAAAGGGAGACAGGGAGATAGAGAAATGGGCTACAGCCCATACCAGAGTGGACACCCTCACCATAAGCATAAGGAAGAGATGAAGGTGGCCTCACCTTCAGTCTCAGGGATCCAATTACTATGAGGTGAGTAGCTCAGATAAAAATCCCTCCAGGTTATTTATCTGCCATGGAGATACTGATTATGGGGGTCAGACCATGGGATCAGTAATGATTGAAATGGACAGATCATCTTTCAGTTTTACACAGAGATAGCCTGGGTCTAGCTTATTCATTACAGTCTGTCTGAATCTGTTGGAAAATAAAGAAACCTCCCTGGCCAGGTGGCTCAGTTGGTTGAAGCATCATCTCGTGCACCAAAGGGTGTGGGCTAGATTCCCAGTCAGGGCAGATATCCAGGTTTCGGGTTTGATTCCTGGTCGGGGCGAGTACAGGAGGCAACCAATTGAAGTTTCTCACATCTATGTTTCTCTCTCTCTCCCTTCCTCTCTCTCTCAAATCAATAAAAATATATCCTCAGGTCAAGATTTTTTTTTTTTTTTAATTTAAAAAGAAGATAAAGAAACCCCTACATTTCAGTGAAAATTTTCAAAAGTCGGTAGAATTGTGCAATGCAGGAAACTTGTCTTCAGCCTCTCTCCTCTCAGCCCCACAATCACTTCCTCCTCTTGTTCCTCCCTTCCCCTAGCATTCCTCACTCAAAAGTCTTTCTCCTAATTTCCCCTCAGATAGAATTGAAATTAATTTAGAGAATTATTTTCCTTTTTCTCAGGGATCAAAATTTTCATTATACTAAAGCGATAGTGTTTTAGTAGTTAGAGTTCAACTTAGTTTAATATGTAGGAGAATACATTGATGGGCTTCTCTGCCATTGAAACCACATCATGAACCCTATTTCCAAATACTAGTGTTTAATGATTTCTTAAACTCTTGTAATTTAAAATGAATAATTTGCTTCTTACTTAGGAAATTGCTCTGGTAGGAAATTGTTCTGGTACTACTATTTTTTTTTTTCCTATTGTGTCACAATGGTTTTTCCTTTCTTTATTAAATTTTATAAAAGCAAATTATAATGGCTCTGATGAAAGAGATCACTTTGAAAGCTTGTTTTGTAATCTAGAATGCTAAACAAGGCCTGCTGTGTACTCACCTAACATCAGTAGATGGCAGCAAACACTCTCTTATGAAGAGTTATGGGTGTTGAGATGCTGTTTTATTTGAATAGCAGTTAAACTCAAAAGCAGTTTCTAATCCAAATAACTGTCTTTTAGTAATCCTTGTGAAAGGATTTATTTCCAGTTTATTTTACCATGCATACCATGGAAATAAAGGCTGAATAATTTACTACCATAAAACTTCAATAACTGAACCCTGCCAATTGGAATTGGTTATAATTTAAAAAGTGTCTTGGGCTGAAGCTTATTTGCTTTTGTTCAGTCTATGGAAAAGGATTTGTTTAGCAACTTAATAGTATAACTTTCTTAGAAGACTAGAAATTGCTTAAAAGAACTATGGTTTCATGTGACTTTAAAATTGTTATTTCATTAAAAGAAGAATAGTAGTAGTAGTAATAGTAGTAGTAGTAGTCCAGGCCCTTACCCATTAATAGCTTACTTGGTTAAAGATAGTGCTCAATGGTGTAGAAATCTGTAAGACAATTTTTAAAATGAAATAACTCATAAAGAAGGGAGGGTCAGAGGCATCCAAATAAATGACTCCCTTTAAAGTAGTCTCCTTGAGAAGCTGTACCCTTATTCTCATAATGCTATGGCCCAGAATTTTTCTGCACCTCTTTGAGTACTGCATTGAAGAGTCAAATGTCACTTCCTCTGGATTTATTCTGAATGGGGGAAAACATTCATCCTCTGAGTGGTAGATTTGATATTTTGAAATAATAAAACCAATATTTTTTCCCAATTCAAACATGATAAATTAATGATTTTCTTGTGCAGCTTATTAACTTACTCCACAAAGTTTGGAGCAATCTATAGACACAGAAAGTACATTAGTGGATGCCTAGGAATCAGTTGGAAAGCTGAGGGGGGATGAAAAGTGACTGATAACAGGTACAAGGTTTCTTTTTTGTCTGATGAAAATGTTCTAACATTTAGTAAATTTGTACCTCTAAAAATTTACTAAAAGCTATTGAATTGTGCTCTTTAAATGGATGAACTTTATGCTATGGAAATCATAGCTTAGTAAAGTTGTTAAAGGCGTTTGGAGTGCTAGTAGCATCCTAGGTTCAGGGGTGTATTTTTTTAAAGTATGAGTTGCATCACTTTATGATTAAACTTTGTTCGCACCCTCATCCCCATTTCTGCTAGCACAGTACTGATTTCAGAGTAATTGCTTAATAATTATTTGTTCAGCATAATTGAAAGTAGTATAATGCTCAATTTTATTTTATTTCAGAGAAGATAGTGATTTTTATTAAAAAATGTTTACAGTCTTGGCTGGCAGCTCAATGGTTAGAGCATCAGCCTGCAGACTAAAGGGTCTGGGGTTTGATTCTGGTCAAGGGCACATACCTGGGTTGCGTATTCATTCCCTAGCCTGATTGGGGCATGTGCTGGAGCCAACCAATTGATGTGTCTCTTTCACATGGATGTTTATCTCTTTCTCTCTCTTCCTCCCTTACACTCTCTCTGAAAAGCAATGGGAAAAAAAAATCTTTGGGTGAGGATTTAAAAAAATAATGTGTACAAGTTCTTAGATGTTTTTTATCTCCTAATCTACAGTATCATTTTATGGGTACTTTTAACAAATGTTGAGTTATAACCAGTCATTTATGTTTCCCAAACATCATCAATTTTTATTACAAACAGCATGGGTTATTACTAGTACTTAAATTAATATATTACTATTTGTTAATTTAATAAAATGTATCATTATCCATGTAAGTTATAGAAATAACTCAGGAATGTTGTTCTAATGTTTTTTCATTGACTCTGGCATCTTAATTTTTAGTAATACATAAAGGGAAATCAATCAGTTTTAACCTCACTCTCTCTCTCTCCTCCCCACCCTTACTCAGGAAGCATTGTGAGTGTTGGTGATCCAAAGAAAAAATACACAAGATTTGAAAAAATTGGTCAAGGGTAAGTGATTGTTATTTGAACTATCAAAACATACATATCAAAGATATACATTAAAATTCAATAACAGCTTGGATTTCTGGTAAATTATGTTTCTTATTTTCTGGGTTATATTCATATTTTCATCCTCAGTGTTGACTTTTCTGGTTGGCTGTTAATTAATCAAGGAACATATCCTGCTGGAATCTTCACTATTGTTGGGCTGACACTATTTTTAGGAACATTTTGATTCCATATAATTAGATGATTCAAACTGATTTCTCTAGAAAAGCAGTAGGGTTATTAGAAACCTCATGTTTGTATGAAACATCCTTTATCCCTGTCCCCCTACACCTGTATGAATGTTATGCTTAAGATCCTATTTCTTTGTCAAACTGGAAAGTGACAGAGTGAGGGTAAGGAAAGTCCTTACTGAATGATACAGAGGTGGGTAGAGTTGAATATGTGAGTAAAGAGAAAACTGATCAATAATCCCTAAAAGAGATGGTCCCTGCTGTTTCAGTTCACTTCTTCTGGGCATGGCTTTCAAACTTCTTAAGAGATTAGATCTGATTAGCTGGGTAAGCATGACCCAGTTAAGAAGTATTTCCAGGTCCAAACACCTCAGAAGCCACCAAGTCATCCTATAAGAGTCTACTGATACTCTGGGTGAGACGTTTGCATGATGGTCAGCATCCCCTGGCCTGGCTAACTGTGTGCCTGTAGCAGCCTCACCTATTATGCTCATTAAGAATAAATATCCCCAGGCTTCACTGTCAGAAACTTGTTTCAGAAGTATGGAATGGGAAACAAGAAACTGAATTTTGGGAAAGTTCTTTAAATAATCCTGACCATTAGTTAGACATGCAAACCACGGGGCTAGATCATTCACCAGAGCTAAAAGTAAGAGTTACCAGTTCAACAAGTCAGCTGTAATTAGGTATGTCTCTCAGGCCTCAATGTGAAACTAAGTGGAAGGGCTTGAGTAGGCAAGTGTTTGAAACAGGGAAAAGTTTTGTTTAAAGAGAAATGAAGTGATCTTAAGGGCTGTACTTAAATAGAGAATGGGACAAGATATTTAGGTGCACCAATTACTATATGCCAGGATCCAATATAGCACCTCAGAGGTCTCCTGGATGAGAAAAGGGACTGGGAAGGAAGAGATACATCTAATGTGCCTGCAAAATTGTGCTAACCCCTCAGCCAATAGAGTTTGTTTTTGGATAAGGGAATGTAGGAGTTTTTTCAAGTACTTCACTGTTTTTCCTAAGATTCTTAGGTTCAGAAAATTATATATTGTATATAAGCTTGACTATTTTTCATGATTTTTATATTTTATTTATTTCTTCCCCCTAGCTTTTGTAGTAAAGTTTCTTTTGAAATTGCCAAGTTATCTTGGGAAATAAGAGAAGCAATCATTACATTTTGGTTAGAGGATAAGAGGTGCATATCTTACCCCCTTACTTTGGGGATTATGATTTGTGGGAATCAAGGTAAGAAGACCCTGAGAGGGAGGCAGAAACTCAGGGAGAAATATATAGCCAACCTTTTCCCAGTAGAAACCATAATGGTGCTGCATATTTAGGATGCTAAAATATATACCTATTTGTGTTTTTGCTNTTTGGAATAATCAGACTTACCCTCTGAGTCACATGAAGAAATGACAGACACAAAATTCTTGCATCAAGGAAAGAGGGGAGCAAGGACATCGAGTTAATAAAAAATGTCTGCTAGAAACTTGTATTAATTTGTTCCAAAATATTGGAACTAAGGGGCAGTACACAACATAATGACACTGTATTCATATCAAATAAAAGTACAGATAACATTTCTGGGTTACATAATACTGGCAACACTGCACAATCAAACCNTCCAAAATATTGGAACTAAGGGGCAGTACACAACATAATGACACTGTATTCATATCAAATAAAAGTACAGACAACATTTCTGGGTTACATAATCTGGCAACACTGCACAATCAAACTATGGGTTAAAAAACAAGAGTGGTATGAGAGCTGGGCATATTTTATAGAGTAATAACAGCAGCATTGTCCTTTTCATTGAAACAGACCTAATTCCAAATTACCTATATGTAGTTTATGAAAATAGTGTGTTTTAAAATCTTCTTTGTTCAAATGTAGTTGAAAAATACAAAAGTCACCATTAATGAGGAATATGTTAGAAACCCACTGATAAGTGCCTCAAAAGAATAGAAAGTTATGCATTTAACTACTTTGTACCTGTCAGGCATCTCACCAACATTTTGCCATCTTAAAACTCAGTAAGAATACTGCCTTTTCACAAATTATTCAAACCCAAACTTGCATAGAATTGCATAGAATTGTTAGATTATATTTTAAAAACATGACAGAAACTTCCACATAGGTGTTTAATGCTACTGACCTCATTGGCAAGTCCTGATGATTTGAGAACTTCCTTTTCTACAATAAAGGTTCATTCAGAGGTGATAGCTTCTGATATCTTTCCTATGAACATGTGATTTTACATCAGAAATATGGCTTTTGGTATAACAACTTCCAAGACAAAATATTTACTCACGTTTATCACTCTGTCACTCTGACAGACTTTGCCTTGGTAAAACTCCCTGATACGTAAATACAATTTGAATCCAAAATAAATATTAAATATTTATAAACTTGACTCCTGTATAAATTACGTAGTGTCCAATGAGTTGTAGAGTCTTGCTGAAGGCGTTGCTTCCTGTTGCCTTCTTAGGGATTCTCCTCTGTGAAAAGTCAGATTAAAATGAACCTAATGCTGAAATGTTTTCCCCACTCAAAAACATGAACTCTCAGGTCATGATATTTGACTCCAAATCATTATATTCAGAGGGTTTTCTAAAACGAGGTCTGACTTCACAGGAGATTGCCCCCATCGGATATCACTGGTATTCTTACTTGTTCATTTTAAAAAGTGTTTTGTGGTCTATAGGGGTTCTCTATCACTTAACCAATCAAAGAGTATGTCTGCCCATTTCTCAGTGCTGTCCAATAGAACTTTCTGTGATGATGAAGATGTAATATAACTGTGCAATCTTATATGGTAGCCACTAGCATGTGTGGCTATGCAGCACTTGAAATATGTCTAGTGCAAATGATAAACTATTTATTTGAATTAATTTATTTTTCAGAGCACGCAGGGATGGGTATTGATGGTGTGAGTTCTCAAGAACTTAAAGTGTACTATGATAAGTGCTTGACAGAGGGCTACATAAGGTGCAAGGAGAATATCAAGACAAGCCTACTCAACTCACCCAGCAGGGCTGGCTTTTATAGCCATTATTTCCCACTTAAAGGTTTCCTTCTTAACCTCTGGTGGAATGGTAAAACAACTTACGTAAGGAAGCCATACCTTCTCATGTTCATGTTACTTTATTTATGCCCAAAATGTAAACTCCAAAAGGCAGATTGTAAAAACACACTATTGTGTAATAAGGGGGTTTGGAAAGTAAAAGTTGGCTTTTAGGCTTTATTTTAATCAGGTTAGGCCTTTGGTGGAGCTAACAATAGGAAAGAATACACCATCCACAGAGAAGTAATGTTCCAGAGCTTTGCTGTCAAATATGGTAACCATGTGGCTATTGAGCCCTTCAAATGTGGCTAGTCCAAATTGAGATAATTTATAAGTATAAAATATGCACCTGATTTTAAAAAGAATGAAAAGGGATATAAAAATTTTGGTTATATATTGGTTATATATTGAAATGAGATTTTATATACATTGTTTAATTTCATCTTTTAAACTTTAAAAATATAACTCAGAAATTTGAAAATATGACTGACATATTTCTAATGGACAGCACTGCTCTAGTTGTAGGTTTAAATATGGGAGTTGTTTATTTATTCATGAAGTAGATATTTTAGAATTGTTTTGGGGGGAGTGGGGAGTAGAAGATGTTATAATTTTGTTTTGATTATGCATTCCTACTAAGACCCAATTGAGCCCAAAATAGCATTGAATTTAAAAAAGGAAAAAAGTAAGTGATGGTTTCAAATATCCCCCAGATACCATGTAATGAAGCAAGACTGATTTCTCTAACAACAAAGATCTTTGCATACCAAAGAGTTTTCACCTCCTGGCTGTTATTTATGCTTCTGACCTCTAAAGATGCAAAAGGAAAGTTCTCTTTTTCTGCATACTTTTGTGAAGCCTTTATCATCTAAAATGAAAAAAATAATAATAATAAAGCAGAAATCCTGCTTACCACTGCAGAAAGGTCTGTTTTAAATTTCCAAGGAGTTCATAATTTTTTTAAATTAATTTTTAGAGAGAGGAAGGGAGAGAGGACACAGAGAGAGAGACATTGATTGTTGTTTAACATATTTATGTGTTCATTGGTATGTGCCCTGACCAGGGATCAAACCTACAACCTTGGCATTTTGGGACAGCACTCTAACCAACTGAGCTACCTGGCCATGGCACAGGTTCATCATTTTAAAGAATAATGAAACCACAGATAGTTCACCTATAGGCCCAATTCAACTTTTAAGTAAGTCCGTAGAAGGTAGGAAGTCTACTTTATTTCTCATTTTGTCTCCTTTAGTGTGTAGCACAGTGCTTTTACATTTAGTAGGCCCCCCAAAAAAATTTTGTACAATTTTGGTCCACAGCAATAGTTTACTTTGCCAAGGTCAAAGACCTACAGAACTTCCCCGTCTGCCTCCCCATCTCTCTGGATGTGTTTTTGCCTCAATAAACATTTGTTGAACTAATGAGAATGTTTGTCTTTATAGCTCTCCCTTTCCTCTGTACCTATGTTTCATACATACATACCTTGTTCTTTCTGTATCTGTCTCTCTGTTTTTTTCTCAAGTTGTCTTCATTTCTGTTTCTCATATTGACTTGATTAACCGTACTACATCTAATTCTTTATCTTTTGGGTATATTTGTGTGTGCTACACATCTGTCTTTTTTATTCTTCTTCACCTTCCACTGTCAATTTTCACACACACACACACACACACACACACACACACACACACAACCAAAATGGTCATAAT